CCACTGAATTCCATCACAATAACTATTAATTTGTTTCGTAGGCCATGTGGGGACAGTGGGAACGCATGTATCCTGAATTCATCACAGTATTTTTCCACCATCGGCGACTCATTGCTATGCTCTTCATATTTATTTTAATAAGAAACCTTGACATAGCTACACAGTGGCATATATGATTAGATAAACTTTAGTTTGGCAAAAATTCTCTGTAGCTTTCCAAATTTTAGTTCGATTCATTTTTCGTTTTCGTTTGGTTTTCACGAATGTGAGAATAAACAGAGTTACAAAAGTAAACATGGGACTCAGTAGTCGGCAAGATGAGTGGTCCGGTTGGAATAATGAAGGCAAAATTTACTCTGACGTCTTTGCAGCTAGGTCTGATATAATCTGCTTTTCGCTGCTATTTCACGTCGCTTATTCCACCACTACATATATCTTGGTGTAGCTTATGCGCACTGAGAATTACTGATCTAGCTTCATGGCCCATCATATTTTATGTATTTACCATCCAAAATCGGCTTGAACGATCTGTGGCAGCCGCACTCGCAAAATCGCCTCGGTCCCACGCGACCAAAGACATCAAAGAGTTATGAATCACAGAATCTACGGTTCCTCACATGATGATCCTTAAGAGCCTGATTGTTAAATATGGACGTCCGCGCACTCAAAGTGACTTAATAAGTCTCGATCTCGTCCGAGTGAGTCCAGAAACTGGGTTCCGGAGGGGCATTATCTGGCGATCAGCAGTTTCCATGATTCTAAATGTTAATAATACTGATTTATTTATAGTAAAGGTCACTGACTAACCCTCCCACTAAATCTAGCACTGATGTGTGCCTTGTGATGTTTCTTGAGGAATGGGGAGAGGTTGTAACCGAAAACTACCGTAATCCCATCTCAAGTGTGCAATGAATTTTGATCCCTTTTCAAAAGTTTGCTCAGCTGAAATGCAATGCAGGATTAACTAAGCACATAAACTATTTATCCACTTTCCGAAACACCTTTTAACTGCTACGTAACTCGCAGGGATTAAACGATCCCTCTCAGTTGAGACCAGGGTCGACTGTCCGTTATGCAAGATCAGCGAGGGGGACGGTGGGCCGCGCGTATAATTTTCAGAGCGCATGTTTTTTTTTACGTAAACAATTTTTCAAGGAAATAGGTATACTGCTGGCAGTTGTGAGGGATTTAAAAAACATTGGACTACCCGTTTTTTTTTTCATTAAAGGCACGCTCCGCGATTCAGGCGCGCTCGCCTGTTCCATCCGGGGGTAGTAGGCAGGCGGACAAGTGTTGATGTCGGCCCCTTTTGCCGCTTGAAAGTGCGCGACAAAGGCGCAAGGAGCTCGTCCGACCCGCAACTCACACCTTCGTCCGCAAGCCCCACCCTCCGCTGTCGGTTGCCACGTGCTTGAAAAGCGCGGGCGCATTTGAGGCAGCGGTCCCATCGCGATCCAATGTTATTGGCACTGGAGCAAGTAGAGTTAGGTTCGTGAAACTCGTCCAACGCGCCTCTTCTCTATCCCAAGGTGGAATGTGGCTGAAATAGGGGAGGTCTCTGTACGGGGCGTAATCGGTGGTTTCGTTTGCTTTCCTTCTCTTTTACAGACCACCTCCCACCTATAGCTTCATAACTGAACGCTTTTCCACACCTATTTTATCCCGAATCTTGCCTTTAAATAAACACGTCTTCACCTCTGCTCTCGCTCCAGTCACTCTCCCCACACATCTGGCAAGCAGACGCTTCATAGCTATCTCACTCCGCGGTTACCGAGCTGATCAAAATATCGATTAAAATTGAAAATGCGATTCTGCCTGAAAAATATGTGTGCCTTACCTTATATGACATGTCTTCTAAAACCCCCTACAGGGTCAGCCATCCCTCGTGTTTTCATTGAGAAGAGGGCCTCCCGTAGATTTTCAATGAGAAGAGGGCCACTATTTTCAATGTAGGTTGTGGACGTGGTGCTGAGAGTTCGCGTAGTAAGTGTAAGTGGAGAGAGGTTCCAGTTTTAAGATCGGGCTATTTCTACAATTCTTAGAAATTACTGATCTAAAGGGAACTTTTCCAAACTGCCTGCTAAAAGCAGCTATGAACGGTGTTTCCACGCGATTGCCAACAACTGTAATTTCAGCACGGTATTTACCGTAACCCGACCAAGTGATCGGCTTGCGCTCACGTCGCGACATCGATTCTTTTTCAAGAACCATACACGCTTTGTTATTCTGCTTCTGTGCACCTATATCTACGATTGCGCAAAGCAACACTCTCACGTTGAATTTCACTGTCATTTGTATGGCCGGCGATTCAATCGATATGGATCGATACGGCACTTCTGGCACTACCTTACGAACCTTATCTAATGATACCTATTATGAGGTAAGCAACACAACACTGTTCTGATTTTTTTCATAAGTATTTCTGTCATTTTCCTTTTGACATGTGAAGTTTTACGTTTTCACAGTAGAAAAAATGTTCATTCAATTTTTAATGTCCGCATATCGAACTACCGAATGCACCAACAACGTCTTGAGATGGTGGTCTTAAGAAGTCTTAAGATGGTCTTAAGATGAAATCTCGGGAAGGTCTTAGGCCGGATGTTAGACTTCGGACTTCTATGAACCGGATGAAGTGCCAGCGGTTCGAGCGGTGCAGTAGCGGTTCGAACTATACTATTGTCGCGGCCCTTTCTATTTTCGTCAACAAACCAGTTGATTTATATATATTTATTTTGCCAAACGATACAAAAGGATAAATGGAGTTATAGTGATACAGACCAACCGTCGCTCACTTGTCAGCGGGGTCAGCCCTCGTGGACGGCGCTCCAGCTGTCGGTAAAACCTTAACTGCCGGTCCGAGCGAGGGGAAAGCCACTCCCACTGACAGGCGGTGACCAAAACAAGAAGGACGTTGCGGGTGCAAGTGCATACCGCAACATTCCCGGGGCACACTTGAAAAAAATGTAACATATGGAGGAATTATATGTCGTGTATAACTGAGGCAAGCAATACATGAATACCAAAGGCATAGAAGCGCGAAATAATGCTCACTTTTGTAATTGTATTGGAGTGTCAAGTGCGCCGCAGCTGAAAAACGTTATAGTCCATCTTCGGATCCCCTTATTAGTTGATGTAGTAAATTATGGAGTAGCAGCAAGCCACGGGCTGTGCTGAGGAAGCAATGTGGAGTAAATATACGACGTAGTAGAGGGATCTTTGCCGAAGAATTAGGACTAGTAGGATTTCAAGAGCGGTCCACTGGACAGAGTGTTTATATGAGTGAGGTGTGAGCGGTAATTTCGCGTTTTACAATATTCGTGTGAAAGTACAAATGTAGTAAGTAGGCGATTAAATTTCTGCAATAAACACTGCATGAGGAATACAATTTCATGAGTACAGTATACACGAGTACAGTATCGTGCGGAATACAACAAAATGGATTATTGCTTGGTGAATGTGGGGAATGAATGTAACAAAGGATGATGGTAAAGGAGGCTTACTTGTACAGGAAAGGAAAGTGTACTGTTAAATTGTAGATTACAATTTTAAGGAGAGTTCAAAATCAAAACTACCATTAATACAACAGTCAGCAGCGAAATTTTGTGGAAGTAAACCTGAAATAAAGGAGAACCAATTAGTGTTCGAGCCTTTGTCGCTTCTGCGGCGGCCCTTGCTTTGACCGCTCGGTGCAGAGAATAGCATGATGAGTTAACCACGACATTTGTTCGAGCATTGACCATGAGCGGGAGAGGCACG